GAGAGATGAGAGAGAGAGAGAAATAGCAGATTGGGACGGGAGAGAATCAGAGGACCGGGTTCCAAAAGAGGCCCTTATCACATGTTGGTCTCCACACTGCTTTATTTACACTACAGAGTTTCAGCCTGCTTGCACACTCCAACACACACACACACACATATGAACAAGCAGAGCTGCAACAGTCTGTGCTGTGCTGCATACAGTGTCAGGGGGCCCGCAGAGAGTACCCTGTGTGACACCAGCAGCCTCTTCCTGTCATTACTCACGTCTCTATTTGTTCTTCAAATAGCTATAAGATGCTAATGCTGCCGCGGTTTATTACCAACTGACATAACTGTCTGTCCTTGTGGAAGGCCCCTGTTGGTGCTGAACAAACACATTTACACAACTATAATTATGAAGACAGATACATACAGGCTTCCAGCATACAGTGCATCTGTTGGTCCAGAGAGATGGAAGATTCTTTTTTTAATATGAATTCAGTCAAGGACATTCAAGAAAAATTATGTAGAGTTCTCTAAGAATCAGAGCAGAAACAATGATGGGAAGCAAACTTGAGTTCCTGGTCAGTTCTGAGATCAGTTAGAGGCTATAAGCTGACACACAAAGGCACCTTCAACATACACTGTTCGGTGCGTAATGAAAATTTGCTTCCATTTCTGTCAGAAAAAAACATAATAAGTAGTCTAACTTAATACTTCTGCTGTTGGGTAATTATTGACCCTTCCTAAGTCCCTAGTTGTTTTAACCTTTAAACATCTTTTTCAATTTGGTTGTCTTTTCTACACGAGCCTAGCACATAGCATATTATTTTTCCAGGATGGCAAAGTCATGACACGCCCAACTCTGGCTTACCCTGAAAGTCCTATCCAGCCCTAACCAGTCTCCTTCCTCATGCCTAAACCCAACCAACAAAACTAATGAAGGCAACATGTACTAGCCAATCAGAGCAAGAGTTGGGCGTCCTGAAAAATAAAATTGCTGTTTTTTTGTTTTTTAAAATGTATTTCTGGGGCATTTTGCATTTTTTAGATAGGACAGCGGAAGAATAACAGGAAGGGGGCAGAGAGAGAGATTGACACGCAGCAAAGGGCCCAGGTTGGAATCAAACTCGTGGCCACTGCAGCAGAGACCCAGCCCAAGCACATGGGGTGCCCAAGAAAGGAAAAAGTTGACCGAGGTGTGCCCCTTTTTGGACTTAGGCACAGCCAATTAGTAATGTAATATTTTTTTCAATGAGTGATATGACTGATTACATTTTCCAAATAACCCAGCACTCATTTTGAGTACCTGCAACAGTATTTCTAGAAAAACACTATTTTGTTTTGTTTTGCTTGCTTTGAGTTCTTTATTCAAATACAACTTTTCAGTGCTCTGGTGAGCACAAAAGACATTCTGCTCACCTTCACTTTATTGGTGTGGCGAAAGATCAAAGCCAGAGGACTCAAAATCTGTGCGCATAAAACAAAAACTATCTGCATGGCTAGATCCCACTAGGGCTAGGTCGAAAATGTGTCTTTTCTCACCCTTCAGCTGTGTGGGACTGATCAGCTCTGCCTGCCTTCAGACCTCAGTTGGAGGAGTTCAGAGTAAAAATAAATGATGGATACACTTCACTGATTATCAGTAATTAAGCTGCTTTGTGTCTCTCATACCTCTGCGTGCTCCGCAATTTTTATCGGAGCTGATTAACAAGGACACAATTTTTGCAACCTTGACGCAAGAATAGCTTACCAAAGTAATGATTCTCACATTTAGGAGCAGGAGAATCAGCAACCTACTTAATTGCAAACGGCCAAAGGCGTAACAAAAGTAGAAGCTCAGAGAGAAGAGAGGAAAAGTCTTGAGTGCATGGTACCTCTGTGTTATTTCCGATCCACCAGATGTAGGTGACCGTTCCCACTTGGCTGGGCCACAGAACAGCAGTCAGGTTCACTTCCTTATTCCTCACCGCCACAAAGGGAGCTGAGAGATGGATATACTCCAGCTGACCTACTCAGGCACACATATACATCACAGAGTGAACTCGATGCACTGTACCGCAATGTGAGGAAAAGAGGAAAAAACAACAACTTTATCGTTTCAAATGAAAAAAAAAAAAAATGAGGTGGAGGTTTATAGGTGGGCGGGGGGGTGAGTTTGTTCAGAATTCCCTCCTGCGCTGGGGCCGTTGGATGCCATCTGTGTGTTATTTCTCATCCGTGGCACTCCTGAGCCTGCGGTGGCTCTATTTGTTGGGCTGGCACATAGGATTGACAGATTGGTGGGGGCAACGGCGCTCCCTGATCAATAAGTCAGCTCCGTTACATCTGTCACCCCCCTAATACACCAGGGGTGGTCAGCCCTGTCACATATAAGGCTGCAGTGGCTTCCGTGGACTGAGCGTCTGTGAAGCATAAGCTGACTTGAGTGGAAGTGTAGTGGGATTTGTTCTATCTCACTTGTTTGTTTCGTTATGGGAGGGGGAGCATGTTCTGTGAAGAGATAAAGCACAGGACGTGCTATGCTGTGTAAAAGCTGACAGCCGCAATTCCAGTGAACGTGATAAAAAGTGGAAAGAGTGAGCACAAACATTGGAGGGACTTCTAAATCTAAAAACACACATGCAGGTTTGTGTACACAAACTCCTCAGTAGCTCACATGTTACATGCAAGTAGAGCACGACAGTCTCTGAACCGAGGCTGTTCTCCCCGGTGGCGGTCACCCGGTAGATCCCCACAGCTTTGTAGACGTGTTTGATCCCGTCCTCAATGGAGCTCACATTGGAGTAGGTCAGAGCGTGGCCGTCTCCGAAGTCCAGTGTAATGCTTGTCCTTGCCCCGTCACCCTGCAAGGCAAACACTTTCAGGGAATTTGCAGGTCCCTTTATCACCTGCAGATTCACTCAAGTAACTTGTTATATTGCACTTCCCTTCACAAGCACAGATCACTTGGCTCTCCCTGGAAAAAATGTGAAATGATGTCCTAGAGCTTAACACTTCACTGCAAGGGTCAGAGCTTTGGTTCTCACTGTGCTCATTCATGCTAGAAAAGGGTATGGTACTTTAGATAGATAAGTTCACAAAGTAGTGTACATATTCAAAAAGCTTAAAGGTCCAGTGTGTAACATTCAGGAGGATCTATTGTCATAAATAGAATATAAAATTCAAAGGTATGTTTTCATTAGTGTATAATCACCTGGATATAGGAATCGTGTTTTTGTTACCTTAGAATGAGCCGTTTATATCTACAGAAACCGCAAGTTACCTTCCATGGAGTCCACCATGTGTCTTACAGTAGCCCAGAAGGGACAAACCAAACACTGGCTGTAGATCGTTGGCATTTTGCAATCTGCAACTATACCACTAGATGCCACAAAATCCTACACACTGGACCTTTAATGGATGCTGAATTACTGGTTCACTATGAGCCAGTCCTTAGGATTGGGTTGCACCAGCTACTTGTAAAGTCATTTGTGAATAGTCGTTCTGTGTGAATTCATTCCTGAGTTCTTAGTAATACTAGCTAGTTTCAAACATTGCTGCCACTACATACATGCACATCTTATATGTATAGGGTACAAAGTGTCAGAGGGGGCACCAGAACATCCTAATGATCATCAATCATAATCATTATATAATACTGTTGGGCTTCGTCTTCTCGTAAGAGAGTAGCAATGATCATGAACAGAAAATAGTGAAGAATGTTCAGTCCAAAGCCCAAAATATTCAGAGATTATTATATATTTTTTGATGACCAATCAATTACTGATTCATAACTAATCACTGTCAAAGTCCTGCTGGTTGGGAAAAGGTGGCAGTTATTGATGCAGTAGTAAAGATTTTACACCCTTAAACTGTGTCCTAAATCGTGCATACTAACATGAAACATTTTGTTCCGTTAGTATACAAATACAGTAAATGGTATCACTATGGATATAACGTGGTCAGAGCTGAACATAATAATTGTTTGTCTCCATACAAACAATCCAATCAGGGGACTTTTCTAAAGTGTGATGAAGCAGAAAACACAGCTGCCATCATGAGCCAACTGCAATTACACACTTCATATTTAACCTGTTTTTTACTTAGCAGGAGAGCAGAATGTGTCACTTAAAAGGGAATATTGCACTATATAAGTATAAACTTACACTGTGATGTTGAGTTATGTAGAAAAGACATGTTTACATTCTGAATATGATGACATGTACTAGTTCACGAGGCTTTTCGAGAAGTGACAGAAAACAGCTTTACCTCCTCCAGAAAGACCAGGAAGGTGACATTAGTGCCCAGTGTGGCTGTCAGTGTGCCCTCGCTGGTGACCAGGTGAAGACCTTTGGGTGCTTGGATAGGACACTGCTGCCTCCTGGCTGTGTACTCCACGCTGACTCCAGCTGTACAGTTATTAGACACCACTTTTCTGTAGCTGGGATAGAAAAACAAAGAAAGCTTATGACTGACTGTACATGCAGGAGAACACTACCTCTGACACCCTGATATGGATAAACACAGTAGTTGTTAAAAGGCCAATACATAAAAAAACCTTTAACAGTGTGTTCTGTGGATTAGCCAGAGTAGCAGGGTTTTTTGCTTTTTCGAAAGAGATATTGCTGATTACATTTTTAGTTTAATTTATCAAAGATGTGTACATCATTTCCATTGTACTGGGACAAATCAAACTAAAACAATCTGCATGGCAAGAAATTAGGGGGTGAACCATTCTGTGCTGTTTCAAATAGAAAATGTGTGCCGTCACAAAAGTTACTCTTGAGTTATGTAGGTTACATGTTTGTGTTTTCTGCCATGCTCTATGGGACAGCCTGTATAGATTGGACACTTCACATTGAAAAAAATCTGCCTTTCTTTTTGTGGCGAGTGAGTATAGAAAGGAATATAAACAGACTGCCCTTTGACAGGGAATCTAAAATATGGAAAGAACAGCAGTAAATCACTCCCTATTTACTAAATTTACATTTTATTTGGCTGGCTGAATTCCAAGTGTATAAATTTATGCACCAAATTGCCCTCAAAAATTCCGCAATTGAAAGAAAAAAGCAGCGTCCATTGTTGGCTTGAAGCAGTGTTCAGTCATATGACATTGTTTTCATTATTAGAGTCTGTACAGTGGTGTGGGAAATGTATACGCTCAAATTTCCATTTTTCTCAGAGCACTTTAAGGACCTCTTGCCCAAGTTGACGTACTTCCACACCTCAAATCAGCACCACCAGTAATGTTCCAAATGTGTTCATTTCAATTGATTTTAAAGTGGATGTTATGTAACTCTATATATTATAAAAGTGTTTTGTTTCTTTTTCATGCAGATGAACTGTAAGGTTTGTTTGAAGGTCCAGTGTGTAACATTCAGGATGATCTATTGTCAGTTGAATATAATATTCATAGGTATGTATAATCACTTAAATAAAGAGAATCATTGTGTTTTTGGTACCTAAGAAATAACAGTTTTTATCTATAGACCGTGCAACCAAAGCCCAAACCAAACATGGGCTTTGAATAGGGCCTTTCCTGTTTCCACTTCAAAGCCCAGGTCTCATTCCTAGGTCACCGCAAGAGGGTTTCAGTTAGTTGCAATCTACAATTTCTCCACTAGATGCCACTAAATTCTACACACTGGTCCTTTAACTTTGCACTACTTGTCTACTAGCTGGATGTTTCAACTATTTATCAATTTTTAGCAAACCTTTTCAATCATTTATCTGTTACTTTTAGCTAATTCAATCATTTATACATTTTTTAAGCAAATTTCCTCAACAATTTATCTGTTACTTTCTGCTATTTATTTACTTTATTTATTAATAAGTTTTAGCTATTTTGAACATTTATCAATTTTTAGATTATTTTTTCAGCCCTTTATAAATGTATTTATGTATTAATGTTTGCTATTTATCCATTTTTAGATTATTTTTACAGTGATTTATATAGTTTTGGCTAACTCTTTTGACAATTTGTTACTTTTACAATTTATCTACAGTATTACTATATTTCTACCATTTATCCATTTTTATATAATTTTTTCAATCATTTACACATTTTTAAGATTTTTCAACAATTTACTAGTTACTTTCTGCTATTTAAAAAATGTATCCGTCATTTTTAGGTATTTCTACCATTTATCCATTACTTTTAGCTGGCAGTCAGGTGTTACAGCTGATTCAATACGTTGATATAGCTATATTATTTACTTGAGTCACTCCACAATATTTTGACATACCCCCTGGCAACTGCAGACGTACCCCTGGTTGGGAACATATGGACTTTGACATGAGGTTGTTTAGTCAGAATGAGTACATTCTGAAAAAGCAATTGTGCTTTACACACTCTTTCACTGAAGAGGTTGTTGAGTCTTTCCTTTATACTTTTTTCAAATACTTGACATGACTTGCAAACACTATTTTCCCTACAGAAGATAACATCAGTACCAGTACTCGCCGGTTCATGATTGTTTTCAAAAGTGAATGTTTGATCATTCAACCCACATTTCCCTCAGCTCGTCCTTGTTGTCCCCGAGAAACTAATTAGTGTAGCCTGAGCTATTCAACTCAACTGCACTGTTCACTTTACTCAATGCCCGCAAGTGACTATTGAGAATGTGCCCATTCTAGTCTGCTCTTGTCACGTGCTTACCCAGTGCTGTTAAGGAAAGTCATCCCTGTGGTGCAGCTCCTGGACATGGATGATGGATGGAACCAGAAGGCGGGGGCGCACTTGCCGTTGGTCCGTCTCTCATAGCCGTAATCACTGCAATGATGTGAGAAAACAGAAGCAGTTATCCAATCAGGAACCACAGAGGAGGCGCTGACAGACAAGGCGGATGCAAATATTCCGGAGGCTGTTCGGTAAATCCAATTCTAAAATGAGACTATTTAGAATGTGACACATACATATAAAATGACTGATATTACTCACAGAGGAATCAATCAAAAAATAATAAAATATTCCAAGCTGAAAATAAATCACCTGCTCTATATTTTTTGAGACATATTGGATATTGAAATTCTGATACATTATTGTTTTTTTTGGAGACAGCATAGAAACTTAATGTCATTTTATTATTGACTTCACAGTATTTACAGGAACTCTTCCAGTGCCTCTTTGGTTTCTTTTTAAACACAGCCTACACAAATTAAAAGGCAGAGCAGCGCCGCGTCCCCAAAATGATAGGGACAAATTGCCCCAATTAGTGCGACATGCACACAGATGCAAAAGTGTTGTGATTGTTAATGAAAGCTATTAGGCTTGGTTATTTATGGTTTTGATGGTGCTCATTCCAAGAGCTGCCTCACTCAAGAGACCTGCAGATCTGGGACCAAAGAGAGAGAGTGAGAGAGAGAG